CCCACAAGAAATACGAGCCATAACACAAGTATATACATATATGCACACCAATGTTCATAGCAGCAATATTTACAACAGCAAAAAGATGGAGACAGTCTAAGTGCCCATCAATGGAAGAATGGATAAACTGTGGTACATACACACAATGGAATATTATGCTACCTTGAAGAATAACAAGGAAGCTGTAAGCCAGCACATAACATGGATAAACCTTGAGAACATTATGTTGAGTGAAATTAGTCAGTCACAAAAGGAGAAATACTGCATAGGACCACTACTGTAAAAGACTAAGAAAAAGAAATTATACTAAATGGAGGGGGTGGTTTTTTTTGCTGGTTACCAGGAGGTGGGGAGTGGGGTGAGGGGACAGAGGGGAAGGTGGTGCACAGGGTAGGCAATAGACACAAGATAGTTTGGGTGCTAGGAAGGGGAGCAATACACAACAAGGAGGAGGGGAATGGAAGAACAAGGCAGATGGGAAAACAATTAGGCAGGTTTGCATGGGCTTATTGGGACAGAGTTATTGAGACATGGTTGGAATAGGCAAAAGGGGGGAAATAATTTTAAGGTGCTTGGCTGTCTTTCGAATCTTGGCTTCCCTGGCATGCCATTATAAAATAGACACTTGAGGGGAGAGAAAGGACTAGTCAAAAACATCACCATAGAAAGCTTGTAAGTCCGTCTTCTGATTGGAATACCTAAAATGGGGCTGCAATGTGCCCAGTGAAGGAAGCTTCCTGTGGAGCCTCTGCATTACATAAGACCATAGGTGGAATCCTGAACCCCATCCAGTATCTTCTGAGGTGGAAAATTTCCACTTTAAAGGACAAGCAGACTACCCTGGAGCAACTAGAAGAACAGCAGATACTTCTTGAAAGAATGACCAACAGGAAACATAAAATACAATAATGACAGTCCGACTGATTACTACAAGAACAAGCAAGGTGCTCACCCAGGAGACATAAAGGGAAGTGGTCGGGTCACCTCAGGTCAAACCCCCTTCCTAGACTAAGACTCAATGGGAATACACGGGCAGACATGCGCTATGATTGGTGACCATGTTCGTCACCGATAAGGGGAAGTGAGAGAAAAACAGCAATGAAGCTGCGAGCTAAGCCATACAACGTTCAGTAGACTGAACCTGTGTGGAGACCCGGTTGGCCAGTGGTGTGGCAAGACCTGGGGACTCTTGGGTTCAGAGTGGAGAGTGAAGCATCCAGCTGATAAGAAGAGAGGGCATATGCACAAGAATACCCACACTTGCAGATAATACCCATCTGGCCTGGCTTCAATGACTGGATGATCAGAATTCACCTAGAAGAAGAAAAAAAGAGGGAAAAAAAGAGTAATCTGATACAACTTGATGAACTTGACCTACACCTATGGATGCAGTAGCTCAAAAGAGGGAACAAATCTTTACAGCAAGGATCATTTCTACCCCCTCCATACACAGAGTAGACAGGGATGGGCAAATTGGACATTGGCTACCCAAAGTGGGGGTCTACTAAGGCAAGAAGTGACTGGCTCACAAGGTTTCAAGAGGGAACCTAGATCCAGAGGGCGTGGAGGAAGGTAGAATCTCCACTGAGTAATATGCAATATATCTAGGTGGGCTGATGAAAGGAGATGGAGATAGGTCTCTTGTGATACAATAGTGAATAATTGTTATCAGGACT